GATGGGCTGAATTGCAGAAAACGCATGATCGCACCGGCTAGTCTGGTGCGCGTTGCTATTTATTTTTTTCTGCGACGGATTTGAAGACGGAAATTTGAGGCTATCGGTTTTCCAGCATTATAGCTAATTTATTCAAGCATCTAAAAGCATGCTCACACAAATTGTTCACGCTGCTGTTCAGTTCTCACAGTAAGTACATATCTCTGGCCTTTCCTCCAAGGATATATTCAGATTTTGGAAAAAATAAAATGCTCTTTAAAGACGCCGGGCTAAAGGGTTCACGATTTAATGGATCGAAACGTTTTAACACGTTCTTTCCTAGTCTTCTAGCTCTTCCAGCTCCGTGTCTTTACCTTCTTCACGTCCAATTTAACTCTGTAGGTGCATCTTGCATTCAGATAAGAAAGCAATTAAAGTTTACCCAAATTTTGCTGTATTTTCTATTGTTAGAATTTATCGCTTTTGATCTCAGCTTTTTTATAAACACTTCAGATCAATTATCAATAAATCAGATGTGAAATTCACGGCTAAATTTTGTCTGTTCCAGTTGAATTTTGCTTGTTCTATGCAGCGAAACTTATCTAGAATAAAATGTTAAGCAAGTATGCATCAGACAAACTTCATTCCAGCTGCCCTTAGCTTTCAGCTACCGCTTTGCCAGCAAAAATTGCAGAATTGTTGAAAAATAAATTGAGTGACTAATACTGAAAATCCGCTCACCTGACTTTTCACCACGATGAAGCAGTTCTTGAAAGTTAATTACCGGCAACTCTGTATCTTTATTTTTTAGCTGTTGCGATGGTTGATCATCTCTTGTGAACTCCTGTGACGTGAACCAAACGATCATCCTTAGAGTTTTACAGCGGTCCAATATTCGAGCGATCTGAATTGGAATTTAGATCCTCCAAGCAGCCAATATTTTTGGATGTGTGGAACGTCGTCTAACTTGAGTTTGCGGATGCTTCCAACGATGTGCTGGGTTCTGTTTTTTTGTTCACCCAAAGTGCCAAATTTTTTGTAGAAATTGATAAGATGGAAACTAAACGAACTTTCAAAGCGTTCAGTGATGAGACAAGAATTGTTCTTGCTTGTGCCTCGTTGATCGCGTACAGCACTGCCTCGTCTCCCAGTGTTGCATAAACTGTGGCCACTATAAATGAATAAATATATGGTACCGTAAATTTTTTTGCAAACCAACTGTACACAAATGGCTAGCATCATTTCCAAATCATTTATGACGTCATTATCGCCTTTTTAGCAACCAACAGGAGTTTTTGCACATTCTTCTACGCGTTCATCCGATGTTTATTCGATCGTCTTATACTTGAAGCGAAAAAAAACACAAAAACTGGACCTGACTTTTCTCCTTCGAGAATCGTTTATACTAGGATAATCAAGAAATTACACAGAAGGTACCGAAATTTTACAGCCTAATTTCCGAAATCTATTCCAAGAGCTGAATTTCTCATGTTTGCCGCATGAGATCTGTTTCTAAACATAATTAAAGTTAAGCCATACATAAAATCATTGGCGACGCGCACTGGGGGGCCCCGCGCGACCATGCGTTTTTGCAGTGTTTCCTGCTGT